CCCCAAAACCCCAAAACCCCAAAACCCCTTTATGATAAATTCATACTGAAATCTACACTAGGATGCATTCTAATTCATCTCTGAGCTTAGCTCAGAGATATCAAAGGTATTTGAAACAATCCATGGATGGGTCAGTACTTCTTCTATTGATATTCTCTCCTGAGGATCTACTTTTAAAAGCTTTGTGATAAGATCTTTCAAACTTTCAGTAAAATATGATTTCATTTGAAATTGCCCAAGCTTGATTTTCTTGCCTTGTATTAACTTGTCAATAGAATAAAATGGGGCTTCTCCACTAGAGAGTTCATATACCAGAATTCCAAGACTCCAGATATCAATTCTTGAGTCATATTCTTTGTTTTGAAGCATTTCAGGTGACATATAATCGGCTGTACCTCCTAGGCTCTTCCTCCTATTACTTGGACTATGGATACTTAAGCCGAAATCCCCTAGCTTGATATCATCTCCATCGACCAGGATATTTTCAGGCTTGATATCCCTATGAATAATATTTTTGCTATGCAGGTACAGCAAAGCCTCAGCTATTTGCTTGATATAGTTGGCAGAGACCTCTTCTGGGAACCTTCGACCTGGCTGCTCAGTCATGTATGTGAAAAGATCACCTTCAGCACAATATTCTAGAATTATGAACACTCTTTTATGGTCTTTGAACCAGCCATACATGCTTAAGATATTAGGATGCTTAAGTCTTGAGTGAATCTCGATTTCTCTTCGTAAACTTTTTAAATACCTCTGACTCTTCGACAGTTGTTTCTTGAAGATCATCTTCAGCACAAATGGATACTTGGTAATTCGTTCCCTAACGAGAAGGCAGTAGCCTGAGTGACCTCTGGCTAGTGGTCTCCCAATTTCAAAGTTCTCCAAGCTCCATTCCTCAGAATTGAAGATCTTCCGAGGGAGCTTGGCTTCTTCTACATTATCTTTGGGCTGGTAGAATTTACCTGTCTTGGGAGATTTTAGTCTAACTTTTCTATTTTTTGTGATTTCTGCCAATTTTCTTTGACTTTGAAGATATTGCATCCCTCTTTCAGATTGTCTGACTGTCTTTTGGAAAAGGATTTCAGCCTCTTGTTGCTCGGTTAGTGAGGCATCTTGTACATCATCTTGACCAGAGTTATCAGAAATATCTTCCCAGTTATTATCATCTTCTTCTTGAACAGGTTCTTGGGATGTATTTCTAACTTCTCCAGTCTCTGGAGACGGAGGAGCTTTCTCTTCAGACACATATGAAATCTTAACTGGAGTTACTAGTGAATTCTGATGCTTGGCTTTCATAATTGTGTGAGAAGAAACTAGACTGCTGTTTCAGAAATTCTGGGGATCAAGATTGGACATCTCTTCTTCATCTAGTTGTGAGTTATCTATCTGCATTGTGACATCCTTCGGCTGCTTAACCTCTGATTTTGAGTTAAAACTCTTAAGATGAATAGGGTTACTGCTCTCTGTTTCTTGGCATTTTTTAACTTGATTTTTAGTATCTTTTGGTATGTGAGAAATCTTACTAAGATATCTTGGAAGTTTTCAAGATGGGTTAGCAGTAAATTGATAGGAATTAAAGGGCTTATTGTGTGTTCTACTGGCCCTCTTCTGATGAGAGTTCTCGTTTATAAGAGTTTTGCTGTTCTTAAGTCCTTCCTTTGTCATTGGTCTTGCAACCTGACCAGGCTCCACCGATCTGTTGGCTTTTCTTTGTAAACTATTTTTGGAGTCTTTATTTCAAGAAATCGAAGAGTCTCGATGGAACATTTTGGAATTTGTTTGACTTCCTTCTGGAAGTAGAGAGATGGTTTCTCTTGGATAAAGCCTCTTCTTGGGATGATTTTCGAGATTTCTTCTTTTCGCTAAAGCACCATGTCTTTATCAAGTAAGGGTTTGTAAATTCCATTCAGTTTGCTACTAAAAATTTCAATTTAATACTTATTTTCAGGGGTTTTGGGGTTTTGGGGTTTTGGGGTTTTGGGGTTTTGGGGTTTTGGGG